TAGCTTCTAAGAAATTTGGCAATCGGCCTTTTAAAAGGAGTAGTTTGGGAAACCATCTTCTTTCCTTCCTACTTACCTCCACTTTTGATCTGCAGGATTACAGTATCTCTTTCTGTAAGAGTCTTATTCAAGTGCTTGAAATAATGTATCACTAGAAGTTATACCAGTATAAATTAGTTCATAGCACAGGCTGTCTAGGACTGAATTCTGTGGTTGCTGTATTCTTGAAAATAGATATTTACATGCTTTATCCATATCAGTAGTTTAACATATGCTTAAATAATTACAGCGTTGCTCTCTGAATATAGAATTGTTTTGTTTCAGAGCCTGAAGTACATTTACCAATGTATCTAGTTTACAATTTCTCATTCTTGTGGAGAAGTTAATGCCCCGTCCTCCCCACAAGGCAGAAGTTACTTTCAGAGACTACAGGATATACATGTGCTTAAGATGGAGATACTTAAGTGCTTACCGGTGCGTCTAGATACCAGTCACGATGATTTATTTCCTAGAGGTGTTTGTGTGCCAATTTACTAGTCATCAGGGAAAGGATATGTTTTCAGCAATACTCAGTTCATCAGTTGACACTGAAGTAAACTTTTGATACAAAGGAAAGTTTTGGGGAGGAGGGTCAAGAGATGCATTTCTTTGGGTTTCTTATTTTTGCATGCAGTGCTTGGATTCTAGTTCACCAAGTGACAAAAGCTGCTGTGCAAAATGTTTATGTCTGAGCTTCACATGATGTCTAAACTTTTCAGCAGATCCACAGAAAATGGAAACATGTTTTCTGGTAGACTGGGACCTGGTAATGCAATAGTTGATTTTTCAAAATCAAACCACCAGTGCATCCTTTTCTTTTCATGAAAAGTACTCAAATGTTTGAAGGGTAGAATTTGGGGGTTTGAGCTCTGTCTTGTTTTTCCTTTTCACTTGCAGTGTTGTAAATGTATATTTATGGCCAAAGCAGCTTACAGCGAATGAAGGGGGAGAAAATTGAAATTTAAGGATTAGACTTTTCTTTTATGTATCCTAAATAACAAGGTAGAAATACAGAGAGAGTTGTGCGGTTGTGTTAGAAGCCTCAGGCTGTTACTAATCAGTATGAGGAAAGATTAAATAGAGAGAACCATGGCAACCATCTAACATTTGTGAATGAATCTGTGTTTCCATAAGGCAGTTCCTAATGTAGAGTACTGCATATTCTGAAATAGATGTATTCAAAGTAGGTTGGCGCAGAAACTGAAATCCATATTTGGTGAATGGCAGTTAGAAATGTTCTCTGTTTATACCTTGAGTATCTTTATTTCATGGAAAATGTAGACATGGCAGGATACTTGGGGTTTTTATGCTCATTTGCTATATTGGCTGGAAGTGATGTCTATTGCTGGAAGTGATTTTTGTGTATAATTAAACATCATTTTCTGAGTACAAAAACCTGACCTCATCAGTTACTTATTTGGATTACATGTGAGTAGCCATTTCTTTCCCGTGACTGTTAAAACACAGTGTGTGTAGGGTCAGCAGATGCAGGTACTACTATGGAAATTTATTTCATGTCAAATCATTGCTGTTCCATCATCTTTTCTCTGTTTTTGCATTAAAACATCAAGCATGACAGAAATTGTAGAATGTAACTCTTTTCTCAATTGTTGGATAATCTGTAATGATATCCAAAGCAGTTTCCTCTTATAGTGGAAGGTACTGCCAAATCCTCCTAAGGAGAATGAATGCAAGGAGTGAACTGCCCATGCTGTGGGCCTCAGGAACGGGACTCAAATGATGCTGGGCAACTTTTTTTCAGAAATTCCTATTGGAAAGACAAAACCCAGAGGGAATATTATAAATATTTTAAATTTTACATTGAATCATTTTCAAAAAAACAGTTTTCTTCCAAAGTCCTGACTTTACTGTCACTCAAAGTAGCTCCAGTCAAATATCTTTTTATAACGTTGAGCAGAATCATTTTTAGTGAGCTTTTACCCTGCATGGAGTATTTGCTGGTGCTGCCACAGGGTCACCACTTCAGCCAAGGTGCCCTCTCCCTTCTGTTCCTCCAGAAATTTTGCTTTCTGTGTCATTTGAGGTTTTTTCTTTGCCACCTGGCTGGCAAGGTGGAGTTATTAATAGCTAAATTTTACTGATTTGCACTGCTAGTGGTTTGTGATTTCAGGAACCTTTTATCTATGGGGCTGAATGGAGGACTGGACTGAATGGGCCAGTCTTTCCCAGTCTGAGGTTCATATAGATATCGTTGTCTGGCAAGAAATACAAAACAGTGTGATGTAAATTAATGCATTTGAAAGGCAAAGGAATTAATTACATAGTTGTTCTGAAGCTTGCATGGTAGGTGGTTGTACTACCTGGCCTGGCCATATTGGAGGGAAAAAAAAAAATACCAAAAGTAAGATTTCCTCTTACATAAACTGAAAAACAGTGCACAAGTACCTGCAGTTTCATTATTACCAAATTATTTAATTTTTGTATTATTTTGATGTTCACCTCACATGATGTGCCTTTTGTCTCTGTGCCTTGGTCTTTGAGGAAAACTTTAGTCTCAGTGAGAGGGACAGTATTGGTAATAAAAATAAGAAAGTTCTCCACCTGTTAAATGAATGATGCAGTACATTCCTCTTTTTACAAATTTTTTACTATATCTGTAGGCTTGTAGTTTGCCTGAAATCCGCTTATTTCTCTAACCCAGTGTGCCACTCTCTCTTCTTCTGCCGTCTTCCTTCTTGGCATCTTCCCATTCTCCCTGTCCCCCTTGTCATAAGCTTTGCATTCCCTTTGTCCCATCGTGCATTTTTGCTGAAGACTGTACAGTGTGTTGACCTGTGGGGAGTAATAAGGCTGGTTAAACAGATTGGGTCTGCCATTAGCTACCATGGGTTTGAGTGCCTTTGTCATGCTGCAGTGTTCCCTTTTCCACTCAGGTAAATGTGAATCTGCTCATCAGACCATTACTGGAGAGCTGGGTTGATTGGAAGAGGCCTCAAGAATCTATGGCAAGTGAGGCTGACAAGCTTTGAAAAAAATATCTTCAAGCTAAACATTTGGCCTTACTTTCCTCTATATGTAAATATAGTGTTTATTTCGCAAAGAGCAATATGATTACTTACAGATGTGCTCTAAAAGTGATCTAAGAGGTAAAGACTATGTAAGGAATTGCCAATACCCTTACAGTTTTGTCTATACAAATACACAGTTAAGTCAAATGATGGAAACCAAAAATTTTGTTCCATAGGAAATTTAAATATTTCAGTAGCAAAAGTTATTTCAAATGGAGGTGGAAGAGTGAGAGGAAGTTTTCCTTTAGAAGGATGGTGTTAAATTTTTCTTCGAGAACAATCAAAATATTTTCATGATGACGGTTTTTAGTAATTTCCAAGGTTTCCAAAATTGAAGCTGTCCACATATAAACCATCTAAGTTCTACTCAATAACAGTTTGTCTGGTGAACTGCCAGAATGCTTTTGGTCTGCAGGTGAGCTAGGTATTTTGGTGTGCTGTGATGGCACCAGGAAAACCTTGGAATTCCACATGCTTTAAAACAAGTTGGAACAGAAATATTACAGCGTCCAGTAGGACGCTGCCAAAAAAAAATCACAGGAATTATCAACTTCCTATTTCTTCATTTAAAAAAAAAAAAAATTGAAACAAGTTCTTATCAAAGGGGGAAGGACAAATATATTTTGCCTTTCGCAAACTGTTTTAATGGGTGTGCTAGATTTTTGTCTAGCAGGCATCTATATACAGATGGAAAGGTCCAACGTCACTGATATGACAAACTGTTTTACCCCTTGGGTTTCTGCTTCTTACATTCATTGATATATTTGTGGAATTCCAAAGGCAGAGGGAAGCCACAAAAAGGTCACAAAACTGCAAGCCAAGGTAAACAGCCTGTCAGAGTATGTTTAGCAAATGGCAGTGTAAACCACAGAAAAAATATAGAAAGAAGAGGAAAACCTATTCCCTTGGAAAACACATTTCCTGGTTGGAAAGGCATTGAAGTTGAGAGTCACTTACGTTACTTCCTTGCTCTTTTCCAAGGTCTTTGTTCAAGTTGTTAATTCAATCCTCGGTCCCAGGCTGGCTAGGCCATAGGGAAGAGGAATACATGTTCTGCAACGGGTATAATGGAAGGCTTTGTGGGCATCGTGACTAAAGGCAAAAGCATCTTTCATCTCAGGAAAGGAGATTGGACTACCTCTTTGTCATAAATTTTACTTAGTAATATTTGAATAGTGTATTGAGCATAGATACTGCACCAGAGCATTTCTTTAGTCATTGTCAAAGAGGGTTGTGTTTTCTCCTTTGTACACTGCACAGAAAAGAAGGATTCTTTGTTTGGTTTAACATGCATTGTAACATTTTTTACTCCATTGCAGATGGAAAATAGCTTCTCAGTTCTTGGTTGTTTATCCTAGTTTTCTTGCATTGCAAGTACAAGCTTCTCTTGATGGAGAAGTAATTTTGGATGGCTTTGCTATTGTCCCAGCTGCTCTTTAGCCCTGTGACGTGAAGCTGCAGAATTATGTAGAACAATCTTGTAAATGCTAAAGCGTCTGAACCACTTTGTTTCGCTGCTTTTCACAGCAAGTTCAGACTTCAATCCAGATGTGCAATGCAAGGAATTTTAGTTGCACAGAAGAATCTTTCGGCAGGCTCTTGCAGCACATTCAGCCTAAATAACTGACAGGAATAAAGTTACTGGCTAAAAATGTCATTATGGCCTGGAACCATGTGAGGGACTTTATTCTGTTGATGTAGACAGAATTTCTAAAGATTTCCCTTGCTGATGGTGAAATATCTATATTATGCATGGAGCTCCATCTACATTTGTGTTCAGCACTAAGAAACCAATACTCACGTCTCATATATTTTCTTATGAAAACAGATTTTTGTCTACAGCACCAAACATGTTTGTTGAACGTAAAAGAACAGACATCTTCTACAGGTCCTGAGGGAGACATTGCAGAAAGGGAGTAATCATTATAAACCATGCCGTATGTACTATATCATGTTGCCGTGAGAAAGTTACATTTGATTGGTTTATAAAATAGGTTTTAGTAAATCCCTTAAATAGTGGGTTTGGTAATTGTGCATGCTGCAGTGCAGTATTAGTGAGTACTATATAATGATTAGAGTGTTTCCAGATTGATCTCTTGGAAACAAGTGGATTTCTGACGAGAAGAATGGTATTAGAGTGGGGAAGCGTGATTGAGAAACCTCTCAATCAAGGTAACACTGATAATGCACAGAAAAATTGGAAATTATTTTGATTTGATTACAAATGACAGCTTGTTTACAAATACCACATAAAAAAGTCAAGGAGAAAATAATTAAATATAGAAGAAACACCCTGACAAACAGAATTATCTGGATCTGTCATGTATATCAGAAAGCTGAATTTTATTTGGGTTTTTCAGAATACTTATTTTCCTCTGTTTTACCTCTCAACTAATGGAATTAATTAGCATTTATTTTAAGAGTGTAGGATTTAAACTGTGGAATTTGAGTTTCTCTTTTACTTCAGGGGTACCAGGAGACCAAAGGACACAATAGAAAGTACCCCACAAGTTATGTAGAAGCACTAACACCTATACTATGCCTGACCCCCCAGACCTCTTAAGCCTAAGTCAGTAAATGTAATGATTAACTTATTCATTCTTCAGAAATGAGAAAAGTAGATAATGATTTCATATTCTTAACTAAAAAAAAACTTTAAAGGTTTTCTTTAGAAACTTCATAAGCTGATCTTAAAAAACAATAAAAAATTCAGTGCTCAAAATCAATTTGATAAATGTGTTGAGCCCTGAAGTCTTAGTACAATTAATGTACACATTACCTTTGTAATAAGTGGTATACCTGATCATAAAATAGAAACACTGGTGGAACAGTTAAAGGAATTAGTGTTTGGGGGGAAAAAAGATGGTGATAAAGTAATTAGTATCATAAGTTCAACAAAGATTTAAAACTGTGGTACATGGCAGTAATGGATTTTGAACGCAGTTAATGAGCATATTCATTGCATTCATTTTTAATTAAGTGGAAAAAAATACTGGTCCTTTAAATGGAGATAATAAATGTGCAAGTCAGTCTTGCACAAACATACAACACAAGAATTTATTGCCTGCTGTCTAACTAGGGAACTGGGGATCATTATAAAGATTAGCTTTACTGAAAAAAAAAAATAAATCCAGAAAAAGCTTTAGTAGAAAATGTTTATGGGGTAGTAAAGTTCACATTAAATATTGCTTGGCATATTTGGTAGTGTGTGTGTGCATGTGGATTAATTATTGCTTAATTTAAAATTTAAAATTTTAAATATTTAAGTATTTGCTATCACCAGAGGTAGGACTTTGTACCCTTGAAAAGGATTCAACGCTATTTACCAATTTAGATATACATGGGATGTATTTAGTGTATGACTACACATGTAAGAAAACATAAAAATATCAGTAACCATGCAACTTTCTCAGATGCGTGTTATGCTTCTGCTTAGAATACAAGTTGTGGCTTAGAAGTAAAATGATGACTTGGAAAGCTGCAGCCAGGAACTTCCAAGTGCTTGCCGTGCTTTAACCGATGCATTCTTGCCTTCCCCAGCCACCGGATTGTGCTGCCGCTGGGGCTCGGAGGGTTTCAAGCTGCAGCAGGGGAAATCCAGCTGAAATTCTTAGTGTTTATTCTGTCAGTGGGCAGTTGAGAAACTGATATGAAACAGGTTAAAGCGCTGAAACCAGATGTACCTTCTTTCAATGTTTTTATGACTTGGGAGCTCCCTAAACATTTCCAGTGGAAGCAAGGACCTTTGTGTGGCGTATTGAAGGTTATTGATGACAATTGACTGGTATTTCTTAGTTAACTTTCATGAATCTATTTGAAGTTGTTCACACATCCCCACACAAACCACACATTAAAAACTAATGAAACTAAATCAAACTTAAATCTGTTTCATCCTCTGAAAGCTCCCAACCTGTATCTCCTTTGTCAATATTACCAAAATACCAGGTTCTTTCTGACACGTAGTACATGTAGGTCTTTGCTCAACAAATATCTCATTGGGATATGCATAAACTCAAAATGTGCTTTCAAGTTTCCCTAAGCCAACTTAACCTTCAGGAGCTTGTTCACCACTGATATTACAAGACAGCAAGTTTTCTATACCAAAAAGGGCATGTAGTGATAGGACAAGGGGCAATGGCTTTAAACTGGAAGAGGGAAGATTTAGATGAGATACTAGGAAGAAATTCTTCCTGGTGAGGCGGTGGCACAGGTTGCCCAGAGAAGTTGTGGATGCCCCATCCCTGGAAGTGTTCAAGGCCAGGTTGGATGGGGCTTTGAGCAACCTGGTCTGGTGGAAGGTGTCCCTGCCCATGGCAGGGTGCGTTGGAACTGGATGATCTTTAAGGTCCTTTCCAACCCAAACCATTCTATGATTCTATGAATCTATGAAAAAACCCCGTAACTTTCACTGGTGACATGCACTATACTGCTAGTGATATTGCAGTACGAATTACTGTGCCGCGCTTAAGCAATTTCAATCTTTTTTTTCTGACTTTATTCTGCCCTATCCCACATGTTGTAATTGCTTTCCATAAAAGGAGCAAACAAAACCGTACTCCTGGGTCTTTTTAAAATGCTAACTCTGCTTTTATTTTTTTAACCTCACTGCATGATTTTATTATGTATTTAAGCCAGTAGCAACTTGGAAGCTAAGTTTAAAGTAGCTGCCTTAGGTAGCATATTTTTAGCGTTAAAAAAAGAAAAAGGAATTGCAAACTGCAGAGTCAGTTCCCAGGAAGTTCCCAGCTGCAGCTTTCTGATTTATTGATTAAAGCAGGAAGTTTGTAGAAATTTCATCAGTCAATAAACATTTGATTTTCTTTTGTGTTCAGGTATGACTTTGTAGAAGTTGAAGAGCCTAGTGATGGCACTGTTTTAGGGCGCTGGTGTGGTTCCAGTAGTGTGCCGAGCAGACAAATCTCCAAAGGAAACCAGATCAGAATAAGATTTGTGTCTGATGAATATTTTCCTTCTGAACCTGGATTCTGCATCCATTATACACTTCTTATGCCAGTAAGTATCATGTTTCAGATTGGAACATTTCAGGAAAACAAAATCTTCGAAGTGCTAGCTCAACAGAATCTTTTAATAGCTTAGGATTAATTACTGTTTATTTCTTAATAATAATAATGAGCAATCTGTCTTCCAGAATTGTACATTTTGTTTCTGTTTCTTAACTAACTGAGTGTTCTTGTGGTTCTTCTTGAATGGCTTTGGACTGGGAAGTTGTGGGCTCGGTTGTTTGTGTGGAAACTTCAATAAAATGTTTGCATTCCTAATACAGTACTGTGAAAAAAAGTTTTTTCTAGCTTTGAGAAGAAGAAAAATCAGCGTAAGAATAGGCTGTGTGACATTGAAAGAGCATTGCGAAGTTACAAAAAAGATAAAAGAAATTGATGTTTTTATTAGTCAGCTGCTATTAGACATACACAGCCAAATGATTATACCTAGTTCAAAACCGGAAAAGTTCTTATGCTTCTGGATTGTTTTATTATAGCGACAAAGCAGACAGTGCATGATACTCATTTTCCACTGCATTTTGCCTGGAAACTGTACTTTAGACTTCTCTTGAATGTTGCTTAATGCTTGCAAATCGCAGGTATTAAACAATAGTCGTTGTCTAAAATATGACTATTTTCACTGTCAACAGTTTTCTGTTACCTTTTTTCACCAAATGAAAGATCTGTGATAGCAAATCAATGTTTACAGATTTTTAAGGATGAGATAATACTGTGAAACATTAGAGAGGAGCAGAACAGGGATTGACTTGTTTTAGAATAGGTATCCCATATTTAAAGAGAGTAAGGAGGGGTTTTTTGTTAAATTCCTCATAATTCACTTAGTGAATCTCCTAAGTAGTCTTGTGGTCTGTGGTATTTGGTTGGTGGAAGATATCTGCAAACTCAATAAAAAATTGATCAAAAGAATCCATGTTGTAACCCCACTGACACACGCTTCACTCAAAATGCATTTGGCTTGCTTATTGCTTTTCCCATTTTTGCTGCTTCTCCTCATTTGCAAGACTTTGGTTACTGAGAAGAAGAAAAGAACAATTCTGCGTATCTTTTCAACAATACCTATTCTTCTACGTAATATATTTAGCATACTGATGATGATGTCAGTGAAGTGTAGTTGTTGTGTGTGTACATATATACATGTATGTTATTTTCTGTTGTTTTCCCATAAGTATTTTTAAATATTTAGGCCTAAGAACTATTCCTAAAGTGTTTAAAGGTTTGATCTGCATATTTGACTCTTTTGTGAGTTAGACAATTTTGTTAGTAGAATAGTATGACCTGATAATGATGAATTTTGAAATTAAATAAAATGTCAATCAGTCTCCAAACCAACCTGAAATATGGCCAGGTTCAAACTTTTGTACACCTGAGGGCAGAATGTAATAAGTATGTTTACTTCTAGAAAAGGGTAAAAGAAAATCCCTAAATAGATGTATTTGTGGGCTGATGCCAAATTTCATTGTTGCAGCTCTCTAGTATTATGTCCTACCTGTTACATATTTATCTGACTTAAGTATGATCTAATTTCTGTGGAATGGATTAAACAAAGGCACCTAAAAATACCAGAGTGTATGTATAATTATCTTTATGCCATGCTGTACAAATGAACTGAGTTTATTCCTTGACATTTAATGGAGAAAACTGGTTACACCATTTAAATCATTAAAGTGCAAAACAATTCTTTAATCTTCAAAATATTTACATCACTGATTCAATAGACAAAACCAGAGCTGACATCATAGGATGCATTTTCAGTTCCCCGTTTCTCCATTAACAAAGCTTATGTAGGATAAGAAGTATACATCCAAACTGTTTTAGAAACCAAGCATGTTCTCTCTCACATATATAACAGGCAAGAGCAGACCCCTTCATGTAATAGGAATTCAGAACTAGCTCCAAAATGTGCAGTGTAAAAATTGCTTATCGGTTTGTGAGGGTTAATTTCTAAATCGCTCTTTAAAAGGGCTGTGATCTTTTTCATCAAAAATTATGTCTTAAGCCATGCAAAATACAATTTCACATTTCAGACTGCAGGTTGTAAATGAAATCTACTGAGTTTCAGGATTAGAGCTGCTTCTTGTACCTGAAGCATTTGAAAACTGATGCCAAAAAAAGGTGCTTTTCTTTAGAACTATAAAGATACCTCATCCAACATTTCAAGAGAAACTAAAATTTACAGCCCCCTCTCCCCTCCCACCTCCCTGCAAAAAAGATGTCAGCTATAGGAATGAGTGTAAATTTTAAATAATTCATGCAAAAACATAACTGATTCACTTAGTGATTCACTTCAATGAATTGGTCCTAAACAGTTAAATTTATTTTTTTTTCCCCCCTCATTTTTTGGCAAGAGTGGGAGGGGGAGAAGCCTGGTAGACTAGCAATGAGAGATTGTTTGGGGAGAAATGAAGCAAAACTGAAATAAAACAGTGCAAGCTTGTTTCTGTATTTGGAGGCCACACACAGAGAGGGGCACTGGACACATTTTGAGGTCTTTTAAAGAGCGAGAGAAATTACTTTGTTTAAATCTGCTGTAAGTTATCGTATATATATATTTTTACTTTGTATATTACATTTCAAACCAACTTTTCACATGATGAATAAGTAGGGGGAGAATGGCTATTGATCCGATTACTTTACTGCTAAGATTTAGTCACTCAAAAGAACCCGCAGCAGTTCCAATATCAATAAATGAAACATTTTCTCGAAGGGTTTACCATGAGATTGTAAGGCATGGCATAAAGCTAGTGCATGTACTGTATACAAGCAGAATGATTCCTGAGAAAAACATGAAGCTTTTCTTCAGACTCTTGCTAATTACAGTTTAATAATTTTAATTTTTTCTATTTCAAATTGTGTACCCTGAATACATCTAGAACTTTCTGTAATTCTGGTCTAACTCTACTTTCCTCTGATCTATAGTTGGGAGCTATTTTTGTCTGGAATACCATAAAGTGGAATGAAGTGTTGAAAAAGGTTACTCTTACTGAGAAAATGTAGTTTGTATTATTTCAAAATTATTATGCTACTTTCAGCACAGCTGTTGTTCTTAGTCACTCCTTTCATGCACTGCCCTGTCACTTAGTCTGTGCTTACTGGTGAGCTGCTTTATTCACCAAGGGCTGCTTAGCGGTTGTTCTGCATTTTGACTGTTCAGCTATGCATTTATTAAAAGTCATGTTTTTGGCAGCACTGTATCACCTAAACCCTCCTAGAACTTCATTGCAAAACCAATCCATATTTAATTTCTTTTCCTCTTCTTGCCCCCAGTTACAGCTCTAATCCATGTAGTAGCCACATGCAATGCAGGGAAACATTATAAAATCTTACATGTTTGGGCTTCAGTCTTCCTAGTGACTTGTTTAGTTTAAATTATGTCAGTTACAAGTTTGGCAGAGAAAACTTGATGTAATAAAGCCCATTGTTACTTGGGGAATGGGTGAATGGGATACTTGATGCCTGAGGTGCCATTAAGGAATGCGTGACTGATTGCCAAAGTAGTTATTAATTATTCAGGGCGCTCAGAACAAAGCAGCTCCAGTTAAAGTTGAAGCTGGGGGTGACTGTATTCCCCTTCTTTTTTGGCATATGGTAGCATGTCATTTGTCATCAAAGATCATGCTGAAGATCTTTGCAAAGAACAGACTTAACCCTCTTCTATGCAAGTGAAGATGAAGAGGAAAATCCAAGAAGCTGCTTAAAGACTGACCTAGTTTAAAAGTGACTTGGCAGGTGTTTTGTCATTTTGGTGCAGTACCTGTATGGCTACCTGGATTTCAATCCAAGAGAGATTTCTAGATGTTTTTTCTTTTGATGCAGAGATGTTGTTAGTAGTGCTCTTGCTATTAACCATAATGAAGACTAAATTTAATACTGTGCAGATAATCTATTTAGGGCTATCTAATAATTGTTCCTTTATTTCATCCAAATTGGCTAAACTTTGCTCTGTTAGGGATGAGCATGTTAATTTGTTTGCGGAACCTTTTTAATTGAGCTTGTTTAATGAAAAGGCAAATAAAATTTAAATACTAATAGAAAAAGTGTATACTAATAGAACAGAGAAAGGAAAGCTCTTACTTAGCATTCCCTTCCTTTCAAAAGTCCACAGATTTCACAGATATCAGGTATCTGTCTTGCATGTCAGCACCAAAGTCCGAGAGAGGCTTAACTTTGGCTGCAATAACTGAAAATCCATCCAGAAACATCATAAAGGACATTATTGATCTCCTAAAAAAAGGTTTTTGTACACTCTTCTAAGAAGTTGTCAAAAGGTTTTGGAAATAACACAATTTCAGAGTTGTTTCAGCCAAGGTGGTATGAAGCAGCAGGAGAGTGTACAAGTGTTATTTAGCACTTTGCAATACTACGCGAAGTGAAAAAGAACTGAAAATCCTTCATATGATGTGAAGGACTCTTAAACAAAACCTCTATGTTCAGAGTTTCCACTGATTAGGTATAGTGAAACCTAAGCCTGGATAAATGAACAAACTCCTAAAGATGCTCCAGCATGCAAACTCAATGGTTCATTTTTTTGTGTGTGGCAAAAATTCATTGTAAATCAAAGAGGTTTTTGGACTAATTCTTTCCTTGAAGATTTCATTTTGTGTTAAATTTGTGCTTGAGGTCTAAAAAGAAATTCCTTTTAAATTTCTTAAATGAGACATTAAAGATCATCCAAAATACATAGATAGGAGTGACAGGCTTCAGGTTAATCAAAAAAGTACAAAACCAAGGATGGCTATTATCCATGGGACTACAATGAGAGGGGAAAAAAAAACAACTTTTGAAGCAAAAAGAACCTCTGAAGGATACTTCCTAATAAAATCATAACATCTTGTTTTCCTGTGACCATATCTCATTCTGTCACATGGATATCATAAAAAATTTTAAAATCTGTGTATGTGAAGCAGACTCACAGAGAGACAGGGTTAGAAATGAATCTAGCAAAATTGTGGACCTGCACAGAAGTCCACGGAAGTGTGTCCTTGACCTGCACAA